ACACATGGCCCAGTGGATAAAGACGTTGGTTAGATCCAGTGACTAAACCCAAAGAGTTGAATACCAAGCTTACAGCAGTGGTGAACATAAACTTGGAGAGTTAAAGGGAAAGAACTGAGACATCCGGAAGTGGCATGGCACGTAGAACTAGAACCCGGTGGTCGAGATAAAGGGTTCGGTTCGAAATTCCAATCATCTGAAGAAGGCCGGAGCGTACAACGGCTGAAGCGTTGTGAATATGGCGATTAGAATAACAGTCCGAATAATGCAAGTATTTTATAAGATTTTACATACCTTGAACTGAAATTAGTTTAATCTGCATAATAAATTCAGACTCCAGTTTTTTTTTATAATTAATTCAATAACTTTAATAAAAACTTGTTGAAGCTTGTTAAAAATTGAACTCAAGCTTTGTTTTGAAGTCTAAATTAATCGTTAAAAATTTGATAAAAATGGATTAAATAATTATAGTTATTCGGGTTTATGTAATTTGCATATTAACTTCAGACGGACTATATATCGCATACATGATAATAAATAAACATTTTATCCATTTTGCTGCAATTTTTCTTTCACGTACGTGACAATCGTATATATATATATATATATATATATATATATATATATATATATATATATATATATATATGTAATGCAATGGCAAAGATGAACGATGATCGTATATCAAAAGTTCTTTTCTACAGGGAACGCCATAGTGGTCAAAGAAATGTTTGTAGAACTTCGCTCAGGTATAAAGATAAACTGAAGAGCAACATTTCTTGCGTCAACATTCCATTCAAGAACTTTGAAGAGGTAGATATGAAGAGATCAGGGTAGCGTTCCAGCTGCCATTCATTTATTTTGCTGCAATATTTACTTTCACATAATAATGCCCCACCAAGAAGTCAGCATCATTCGACTGCATGAAACACAAAAGCAAAATAAGACAGCTAACAATGTTCCTGATGCCCTTGCATGCAATATATTCTACTGTACTGTTTGTTGTCATCAGTGCAATTCTCGAGCCGGCCACAAAAGTCATGCCCGTCATAGGTATGCAGATAATTAGTAGGTTGTCATTAGAACCTCATACATCGAACTCGGCGGGGTGTCCATTATATATATATATATATATATATATATATATATATTGCTAAAGAATTAATGGATTTCAGATTTTTAATGCAATGTTATTTTTTATTATTCTAAACGTTATTATTTTGTATAGACGTCTTTGAGAAGAATCCCGCTTTTTTTTTTTTTTAATTTGTTTTAAATAGTGTGAATTTCGCTTACAGGCCTGAGTATTCGAGTGACTGAATAAAGAAATGTGCTCTTTGGCAGGGTTCGAACTTCTGTACTCTTTTACATATATATATATATATATATATATATATATATATATATTATATTATCATTTTCCCATATATATATTTTTCCATATATATATATATATATATATATATATATATATATATATATATATATATATATCTTATCATTTTCCAAATTGTATATAATGTAGCTAGTATCGCTGACAGTAAAACTATCTAAAGGAGTATATTTGAAAGGATGTTGTCAATGTGAATTGTAATACTAGACGTGCAGAAGAGCCGCTGGGATTTAAAGTGGCACACGGGCCTAATATTGGTTTGCTTGCTTAAAGACAGAGAAATAGGTAGAGACACGAAATAATGGGTTGACGAAAAAAGAAAACAATAAAAGGATGGTAAAACATGTGTCGTTTCATTGTAGACAACCAGGAAGATAGACTTGAACAGGCTAATGAGGTTACATTACCTGTTTTAATCTGCTCGATCTATCTATCTATCTATCTATCTATCTATCTATCTATCTATCGCAGTCTGTTCATCTCTTTCAGTCTAAATATAGCATTCTATTTCTATCTATGCTAGATATTTACACAAGTAGTGTTTCCCTCTCTACACACATAGATATACACACATATCTCTCTCTCTTTTTCTCTCTCCCTTTTTCTCTCTTTCTCTCTCTCGATATATATATATATATGTGTGTGTGTGTGTGTGTGTATTGGTTAATGTATTCAAATAAAAGTCTGTAGATGTCTATTTTATTCTGTTGTTATTTAGTTTCTGTTTGTCTATATATGTACCTAGCGGACATCCATGCCCACATTTCTAATATATATATATATATATATATATATATATATATATATATATATATATATATATATGCTTTTTGGTTGAATCATATGCTTCTTGTTCTGTTGTATTTTTCTACTATTTTGTGTCTTGCTTAGTTTTCCTAAAAAAAAAAAAAAACACAGTTGTCTAATTGTTGATGAGTTGTCGAATAATCTGATACTGATGGATTGTGGGATTTGCTTGATGAGGGATAGCAGGATGGCTGGAGGAACTGTGCCTATCAGCGTTTTCGAACATTGTTTTCGTCATCGCCTAATTTCACACGGAAAATGTTTTCACTGCCCACCTGTATACCAAAATTACTTGGTAAAAGTTTGTTACTGGTTCTTATACTGAATGTATGATATAGTAAAAAATACCAAAGAGAAGGAATAAATAATACTGGCTAATACGTCTCCCGTATTAAAGTACAAACGAAAGCAAAACTGACCGTTGAAAACTATATATATATATATATATATATATGTGTGTGTGTGTGTGTGTGTGTGTGTGTGTGTGTGTGTTATGGTCCGGTTCCTCGTACCACGGTAAATAGTCCAAGGTAGAACCAATAAAGAACTCGAACATGGATATGGAATAACACCGATATATTACAAACAGGAATATATACAATGAAGTAGAAAGTGTTAGTACGAACAATCAGGTTTCGTAGTAATTGTCTGAACACGACTCTGTTTCGAACTGCCTCTGACTCGACTGACTGACTCGCTCGCTCTGACTGACAGACCCCTGACGGACTTCACTCCAGACTTCAGACTGAACGGTATTTAGTCACCCCCACGAGAGCATCATATGGCACAAGGCCGGTTTAATGTGGGATCTCCGAGCCAATGGGCTCGGCTTAAAATATGCCCTTTAAACCCGTATAAACGGGTTCAGGGTCGGTTTACCTCCCCAAAAGAGACTCCGCCCTTCGGCGTAGCCTCGTTCGGGTTCATCCCCGCCCGAAAGCAGAGAGTTCAACCGATCAGCCGGTCAGCCGGTCGCCCGACTACGGACTGAACTCCCTGCTTCCTCTTGAGGCGCATATTTATCACGTATGGAATAGTCCATTATGTTATTATGGGTCAGGTTCCATAACAATATATATATATAAGTATAAGTATTACCAGTTTGTGACCAAATTTTTCCTATGGGGTACATATCTGTAACAATTGACGAATATAACGTGAGTGCTTTTTTTTTTAGTGATGCCCTACTCCAGAAGTATGCTTCTCTGCAACTGCTTGGTCTCACACTGTCCGCTGACCTGAGATGGAACAATTACGTTGAATCAATAGCTACATCTACCGCAAGGAAAGTTGGTTCTCTATGTCACGCCAGAAAGTTTTTCTCGCCCGAGTCCATCCTTCAGATCTATGAATCAACCATTCGCCCTTGCATGGAATACTGCTGCCATATATGTTCTGGAGCCCCACTGTTAGTCTCAAGGTCCTCGACAAAATTCAGAGACGGATATGCAATGTGCTTTGCCCTGGTCTGGCATCTCGTCTACAGTCACTTTCTTACACATGTGCCTCTGACTTTTCTACAAATACTTTCACCGTAACTGCTCCCAAACTGCATGACTTTAAACGTGTTACTAGTTTGGTAACTCAACCCACCCTTTTACTGTCGAAACGGTTAAATGTAGCCGTCTCTTCTACTCCAATAGCTTCATGTGTCGCACTTCCTGCCTGTGGAACTCTCTTTCTCTTACTTGCTTCCCTGACAGTTATAGCCTTCAAATATTCAAATGTAATGTCAATCGTCATCTTTTGATGCTTTGATCTTTATCCTTTCCCAAAACACGCCTCTTTACTCTTGTTCTCAATCCCCTGTAACCCCTTGCGTGCTAGTGGCACTCCCGCCTGCTTGGGGTGAAATGCTTAAAAAAAAAAAATTTTAACTTCCCAGTAATCTTTAAAAATATTTTCTGGAATCAAATGTTTCATTGATTTTTCGGTATTTTGGCTTTAAATTTACTATAGTTACCGCTCTTATTTTCTGATAATGTCGTGTATGGACATCCGTATTTAATGTGTGTGGCCGTCTGTATTTACACAACTCAGTACATTTATACACGCACATAAAAATTCAAAATCGCTGAATTTTAGTAAACTTTTCCATTTATGATGAGTAAATATAGTTTTTTATTTAATAATAACTAGCAGGTGAGCACGGCGTTGCCCGGGGATGTAACAGTAAGAGATCGATCAAGTATCGACCATCATAAAGACTGAAAAATAAAATTGACAAAGATTATAGTTTAAGGTTGACGGACACGCATGTCTTAATTAGTTGTTTTTTTTTTGTTTTTTTTTTTTACGAATTGGTCAAACCCAAACTCAAACAAAAACATTGTTTTCAATCGTTATGAGTCTACCGATTGAATAGAATTTTATTATAAACAATTGTCTTGTAAATGGAATTTTTAAAGCATTCTGAATGTAAAAATAAAGAAAAAAGTGTGCAAGACAATAAGAAACACTACCTGCCAAAAAAAAAGTGAAAAAAAGTTTTGTTGAAATCGGTTGAAAAATGTAGGAAATCCGATCCCATATATAAACGAACACACACACACACACACACACACACACACACACACACACACACACACACACACACACACACAGCCTGGGTTTTATAATAATAAGTATAAATCGATATGAGTAGTCCCTCTTTTGTTTCTGGCGACAGAATCATGTTTTATCGCGTTTTCAAATTGATTTCGTGCAAAAACAATTGTGTTTTTCCAATTTTGGACGCTGTCAGAACCACCGCAAGGTAATTTTACGCAGTCCTGTGAAGTTTTGTTGAAATCGGTTGAAAAATGTAGGAAATCTGATCCAATATATAAACGTACAGATACACACACACACACACACACACACACACACACACACACACACACACACACACACACATACACAATCTACGTTTTATAATAAGTAAGAAAGATATCACTTAACCCGTACAAATATATACGGAATTTTAAAAGATTTAAAATTTTATAAATCATTCCAATAAAAATTTTTTAAAAATGAAAACAAATTCTTGTAAAAATTCATTATTCATCGAATTTATTTTCTTAAGACAATCGTGTACATAATATTTCTTATTCATAAAAGCAATTAAAAGTTTCTCTAATTGAATAATTAGTTTTATTGCATTTTTTATTTTATGATTCATAGCAGATTTTCGGTAAATGGGAGGATTGTTTTAAAAAATAAAATTGATCACTTAGATTCTCCAAGCTGTTCTGTGTAAATAATAGAAACTTTAATCATGACAAAAAATGTATTTCTACTCATCAGGAGACAAATGTACCTTAGATTTATTTTCATATATCAAGTTTTTCATAAAAGACGTTATGACGTAAAATTACCTGAATTTATTTTTCTTTTCAACTGTAGTTTATTACATAATCTAATTTGAATTTTCTTGAAAATTAGGCAGTAATACCACTTTCAATTTGAGTTATTTGTTTTACTCAAGTTTTATTCTAATTATTTTATATTCTGTAATTTAGCATCTTATAATTAGAATGAAAGATGAATCTGCGAAACTCTGATTAGAGACAGACTGATAGATTTGATTTTTTACGGTTTACGACCCCTTTGTGCGTTATTCAAAGCAGAAGCATATTTTTTGCACGGTAAGTATAATTCTTTATTTTTGAAAGTGTATATCGATTTAACAGTTTTTTTTTACAATTACAATGACTTCTCCTGATATAGATCTAATATTTGACCCATAGTTGAGGGGAGGAGATAGATTCATACATCTCCCAAGATTATTTATGCGTATATAAATATAATGAACTCGACTGGAAATCGGACTCCGCTCTCCAATTTCTGATATATATATATATATATATATATATATATATATATATATATATATATAAAAAAACAGACCACTTTAAGGTACAATTATAATAATTTATTTCACCAGAGCCCTTTTAAAAGGACGCCGGATCATCAGATAGCACTTCCAACAACGAAATGAAACGTTTCATCCAACTTGGTTTCAGTGCATTTCAACTGCACTTCGACGGGTGAGAATCGAAAATGGTTACGAACAATCACTATTGTTTCACTCCGTCACTTGTTTTATGTATATTTTTCTTCTCAAACAAATGGAAAAAAGGAAGTGACATTTCACATACGACTTGCCTAAAGAAGTATATATATATAAAGAAGTATATATAAAGAAGTTATCAGCGAAAGAATTAATCAGTAAAGTTAATGTAATTAATGGCGAAATCATTTGCAATACATTTATTCACCTGAAATGAAAACAACATTAAAACCTGACGATGAAAGAGCGAAGTTTTTCGAAAGTACTTGTAACAGAACACCTAATCCATTTCATAATTTCAAACATAAGATCGCGTCAGAGAGTTGTTAGTTAATAATTTATTGATCTGTTAGCGAAGTGATTTCGCCATTAATTATATAAACTTTACTGATTAATTCTTTGGATGATTACTTCTTTTTATAGTAAAGGTGATTACTAATGGTGGTGTAATTATAATAATAATAGATGCAATTATTTTGATGGTATCTTGAAATTAAATTGTGATTGTTGGTGGTTTGTCTGTTTTATCCGTTTGGTATGAATTCGGATAATTTATATATACTTTACCTGAAATGAAAACAATATTAATACCTGCCGATGAAGGAGCGAATTTCTTCGAAAGTATTTGTAACAGAATACCTAATCCATCTCATAATTTTAAACGTAAGGATCACGCCATTCAGAGAGATTTTAGTAAGTTAACATGTTATTGATCTGTTAACGAAGTGATTTCACGATTAATTATATGGACTTTACTGATTAAGGTGGCCTGGGATTGCGTCTAGCGTGAAACAGCCTGTCGCCTCTGAGTGTTGACTTCAATGTTCACTTTTATATTTATATTTACATACGCCCTCTGATATTGAGCACTTTATCCCATAAATATAGCACATCCTAAATATATATATATATATATATATATATATATATATATATATGTATGTATGTATGTATGTATGTAATGGGTGTAACACCTAAAAAACGTGTAAAACGTTTCACAGCGAAATTGTCCAATTGTTAGATTAAGTTCTGAAACGTTGTATCTTAGAAATGATTACAACCCTATTGGACCTTACTTTAAGCAATAAGAATGTGTAATTAGTCTTTAAGCATAACAGGAGGTTCGTAATGAAATTGATCATAAACGAAAATGACATGTTCATCATTAATTAATCATAGATAATGATCGGAATCTCATGAAGGATTGAGAAAGATTTAATATATATATATATATATATATTATTCCAGGATCATTTTCCAACTTATTGAAGATGATCTTCACCATTCTCTAACTTTGTTTCTGTACTGGAGTAACAAGTTGCCTCACAGGTTTCACGTACGATTTCATTTTCAAGTCTTTTTCACTGCTCTTTGGACTGTCATCGTTGAAACTCCTCTCTCATGTGGCAAACGTTTTATGGATTGAGCTGGATCTTTTCTAACTGATCTCCTTAGCTCTAACTTCAAATGATAACCCCCCCCCCACCGTCTTCTTGCTGTGACCTCCTGACCCAGTTTTTTTTTCTCTATTGTCCCGACTTTTTAAAATTTATCTACCATTGTCTTGATGGTACTTGAATGGACTTAGAAGATGGAGGCCAGAGTATGATTGCTGATATCATTACTGAAGGCCTGAATGATTTTTTTGTCTCACCATTGCTCAATTGGGAAGACAGAGTGGGGCTAATTCAAAATGATCTGAAACTCTTCTCTTTCTAGTTGAATAACTCAAGGGACTTTTCCATGATTCTTACGGCAAAGGGTGTAACGACGACTAAACGTTTTATCTGAAAACCTGGAGGAAATAAAGTCAATTAGTTTAATGGGATTTTTAGATATTAAACATTTTGTTGGGTGGAAAATTATGCTGTTACATGACTTGGACAATTTTGCTGTTACACCCGGTAGGCAGCAAACCATCCTTTATGCATGTTTCGTTAAAAACGACAGACAAGGTACTGCGGTTAAGATTTTTATCTAATTTTTCGTGTGTTCGAAGAAGAGCTTTCTTTTCTGGACAAAGGGTGTGTAAAAAATGTTTTACAGTTCCGAGCGGTTTCGGCTATACCCTTAGCCATTATCAAGGATGATTCAATTTTTCTGCTTAATTGAGTTTGTGCATTATGTGTATGTTTTAGTGTGTTGTAGAGATGTTTTTAATTTCCGAATAAGGTTAGCACATTGTGGCTTTGTTCGTAGTTAATATTGTTAAGAGTTTGTCCAGTAAAGAAAGCTCTTGTTCGAACAGAAGAAAAATTGAATAAAAAACTTAACCGTAGTAACATGTCTTTCGTTTTTAATGAAACATGCATATATATATATATATATATATATATATATATATATATATATATATATAGAGAGAGAGAGAGAGAGAGAGAGAAATAGACAGATAGCTAGCGAACTAGATAGATGCCATTTACTACGCATGATTTAGGTTCGCATTCATCACGACATTTCGAATAGCTTGCGTGGACAGAATTCCACAACCATTGTGCCATAGAGCCCAACACAACCACTGAATGAAACATAATTTTAAGTTGCCCGAATTTCTTTAATAAAGTAAATTCGTTATTAATTTGGTAGAATATTTTTTATTACTATTTTTATCCAAAACAACGGCCAAGAACCGATCATGGTAGAGTGACAATAAATTAAGTTGCTGTAGAGACATAAAAAGATGACAGTTTAAGACCACGTGAAAAGATAGTGACACGTTGGGTAGATAACGGGTCAAGACCACGTGAAAAGCTAGCGTTAAGTTGGGTAGATAACGCTTCAAGATCACTTGATGGCTATCGGAGAAACTTCCTCTCGGGAGTATCTTCCACAAAGTAACACTTTTAAAGAAGAACCTGTCTGAGTGGGACTTCCTCCTTGTAAATGGAATACGAATAAGGAAGTGTTAATCTGTCTATGCGATATAGCAATTCGTAGCTCTGATGGTCTGAACTGGTGAATCTAAGGAATATTCCTCCTCTGAAAATAGTGACAGAGTAGCGAGGGACTAGCAACATTTTGTGAAAGGGTTGTTGGGTGGAAATAATTCATCGCCCACAAGTCCATGACCACCCTTTTGAATTAAAGGATTGGGCAGCTACACCCATTTGGGGTCTGATCCGACTCTTTTAAAAGTGGAGCATGGCAGATTTTTGGATAACTATTATATCTAATTTTACTAATTATAGTCAAACAGCAAGGAATGGTATAAATATTTTCAGAATAATATGACATGAATAAATTTTGGATTTTTAGTTTCCGTGACCAAATCGGTCTAAGCATTGTCCATATTAGAGAGTCACCATTGAGAGATGACTTGATTTCTTTGCGTACGCCAATTTCTTATTTATGTTTTATTTTCTTATTTTAACGGTCGTAGAATCAGCGAACGTTCCTATATTGATTGAGTGGTCGTTCTTTTACTGATTATCACCCTTTTCTAAGTTATTCAAAACCATAAAATAGTTTTACATTGTAAAAAATAATTTGGAAATAATAACGATTCACTTATACAAGTCTTACTAATTAATCCATAGCTGGGGGAGAAGAAGTGGATTCATACCTTTCCCAAGGATTTTTGTGCGTAAGTGAATATAACGCCCTCGACTGGAGTTAGAAAACGGTTCTCTGATCTCCATTACATACCTGGTATTCTCAAGCGGTCACCCATTTAGGTACAGACCAGGCTCGACGTTGCTTAACTTCGGTGATCGTACGAGAACCTGCGTTTCAAGGCGATATGGCTGTAAGCCCGACTGTTGCTAAAGAAAGAAAGAAAGAAAGTTAAGATAAGAAAAAGAATGATTGCAAGCAAAAGATGCAGCCCAAGGTGTTAGTTACATATCGGGGACGTCCAAATCAATAGGTGTAGTCTGTGGTACAAAGTAAAACACAGAGAATCGAAAGGGCATCAGAATAGCGAGAGAGTATTTGCAGAAACTAAAGGTTCAGGAAATAGGTAAATTGTCTTAGAAGACAAGAGGATGTTGGACGGCAACGTCGTATCTGTCCATCTTCATGGCCACGCGTGATGGACAATTTCCTTACTGTGGAAGAGACTCCAAACAGCAAAGATACGATTCTAAAGTGTGATGCTCAGAATTCTACGGACAGAACATATGAGTAAGAAAAATAGGAACTAAAAGGTCACCTATTTAAAATCAGAATGACACAGCTAAAATGTCTGATACACTTAATGAGGAAAGAAGGCCTGGTGAAATTAAAACTCACAGGACATGCACAGGATGGACAGGGATAAAAACTACTTAATGAGTGTAGTGTAGACACAAAAGGGAAGATAAAGAGTCAAATGTTGTCTAGCTCTACAAGGGACAGGAATTTGTGGTGTGCCATTATCACATAGATCTTATTCTGCTGTACACACGACGCTTTACACGATGTTGTAATGCCAACTCATTCCCGAACAGACTTTGCGACGCCTCTATCTACTAACGGGTCCTTTAATTTTTTCACACTGTTTTGTCCCGATGGCTGAACCCCGCGTGATTAATCCTCTAGCTTGAGTGGATCTTTTGCCTTTTATTGTGTAAAAAACAATGAAAAACATTTCACAGGATAGCCATCAATAAAATAATCATATATATCGGGTGTAACAGCAAAATTGTTCAAGTGTTAGATTAAGCTCTGAGCCTTTGTATCTTAGAAATGATTAAAGATATCTTACTGGAATTCTCTGAGGATTTTAGAGCACCATTGGAGTCTACTTTGAACAATAAGAATGTATAATTACTCTACAAGCTTAACAGAAAAATCGTGATAAAATTGATCATAAACGAAAATGACATTATTTCAGGACCATTTTCCAACTTGCTGAAGATGATCCTCGCCCTCTCTAACCTTCTAACTTTCTGTCCTGAAGTAACAAGTTGCCTCACGTGTTTAACGTGCGATTTCATTTTCAAGTCATTTTTCACTGTTCTTTGGACTGTCATAGCTGAAACTTTTCTCCCACGTGCCAACCGTTTTATGGAATGTATTGGATCTTTTTATAATTGATCTCTTTAGATCTAGATTGAAATGATGAACTTTCTTCCTGTTGTGACATCTTGATCCAGTTTTCCCCTCTATTGTCTTCACCCCCTTTTTTACACTTATTCGCCGTTCTCTTGATGGTTCTTGAATGGACTTTGAAGATGGAAGTCAGAGCATGCTCAGTTAGGAAGACAGTGGGTCTGACACAAAACGATTTTCACCTGTTCTCTTTCTAGCTAAATAACTTGAAGTGTTTTTTCAGTGTTTCTTACGACAAAAGTTTTCAAGATGGCTAAACGTCTTATCTGGAAACCTGGACAAAAATCTCAATTAGTTTAGTGAATTTTTTTAAATATTAAACATTTTGTGGGATGGACAATTATGCTGTTACACGATCTTAACACTTTTGCTGGTTACATCCGGTATATGACGAGGTTTTTTTTCTCTAGTGACCTGACTACATGAATTTAGCCGTGCAGCTAGATTGACATCTACGACTCAGCCATTTACTGTTGAAATAGCTAAATGCAACCACCACTTCTATTCCAAATTTCTTTTCTCGAACTTCCCTTCCGTAAATTTGCTACTATAATATTCAAAAATTTAAATACAACATCAATCACCATCTTCTATCTTCTTGAATCATGTCCTTTTCTCAAACCTTCTTGTATTCAGACATTTCTTTTCCTGACACCCTCTGTATACTAATGGCATTTCCGCTTAGATTGGGGTGAAATTATTTTTCAAAAATCCTTAGCCATTTTCAAGGGATTCGTTGTTAGAATATTTTGTGTTTGTATCCTTAGCTGTGTTGTATAGATGTAGTAATAATTCCATGTTGAGGTGACTTCAGATTTCAGATACGTTGCGACTGGTTTCAAAGCAACAAATGCCGAGTATTGCTTATGTAGTTCTATAAAAAGTGCTTCCATTATCTTTAAACTTTTACAATTAGAATAATTTTTTAAATGACTTATCTGCAAGGATTCCTCTGATGGGAATAAGGAGTTATAAGGAGTCTGTAAGTGCTTTCTTATCGAACTAAGATAACAAATATGTAGCCAGCCGCCTACTTAAGGACGTTGTTGCGTGGCGAATGCATTTATTTGATTTTTTTTTCTTTATTCCACTTTTCTTTATTTTCTTTGTATGTTTTGCATGGGGAAAAGGAACTGATAGATTGAAGGCCTGAAGTCTGGATTCCCTAACCGTATTGCTGTTAATTAGGTGTTTGACAATTTTTAATTTCCCAGAGTATGTACTAAGTTTTACACGTTTGCTAGGGTCTAATGTATTGTTTTATGATGCGAATGCGACTTGTTCATAACTTTTATGCATTTAGTTGATGTAAAAGACATTAATGTTGTCGTGTGCTTTTTATTTAGTGTTGTTGGTCTTTGCCTTCTGTAGGAACTTTATCAGAGGATGAATCGATAAAGAACTAAAGAGAAATGAGAAATTATCTCTTTACCTTTAAATTAAAATGATGACCACTCTTCCTGTTTTGATCTCCTGATCAAGTTTTCACTATACTGTTCCCTCTTTTTAAAACTTATTCATTGTTCTCTTGATGGTTCTTGAATGGACATAATTATTCGGGCACAGATCCATGGATGCCATAAAAGAAGTAAGTTTTTGTCAGATATTTATACCTATGGTTATGATACAATATTGGTCCTTACTTTATACTTGAGCCTATAGGTGAGATTTGATCATTTATTTATACTTAAGACTATAGGTGAGTTTTGATCATTTATATATACTTGAGCCTATAGGTGAGTTTTGATCATTTATTTACACTTGAGCCTGTAGATGAGTTTTGATCATTTATTTATACTTGAGCCTATAGGTGAGATTTGATCATTTATTTATACTTAAGACTATAGGTGAGTTTTGATCATTTATATATACTTGAGCTTATAGGTGAGTTTTGATCATTTATTTATACTTGAACCTATAGGCAAGTTTTGATCATTTATTTATACTTGAGCCTATAGGCAAGTTTTGATCATTTAGTTATACTTGAGCTTGTAGGTGAGTTTTGATTATTTATTTATACTTAAGCCTATAGTTGAGTTTTGAACATTTATTTATATTTGAGAAAATAGGTGAGTTTTGATCATCTATTTATATTTCAGTCTATAAGTAAGTGTTTGTAATCTATTTATACTTGTATCATCTGGCCATGTATATGTGTGTGCGCTTGTGTACACAAGTTATTTTGCCTATTTTGTTGAGGTGTTTTACCATTTATATTCTGATCGTAGGTGACATACAGATCAGTCGATCAAATGTGCTATGGTTGGCCGTAGCGGAAATGGGTACTCGCATACAATGAAAGTTAACGATGTGACAGCTAGCGTGGGTACCTGGCTGGAGTCAAAATTCAATTCGCATCTATTTGTTTCGTGAGCAGACATTATCGATCGACAAATATCGTCGAAGGTGTGTGTATATAAACAGTAATTTTTGCTAACGAGACGCTTCTCTGGGATTGAATGGTAACGGCACGTCAGGCTATATGACGGTTCCCATAAGGGTTACAGGTTCGATTCCTGTCGGCGATCGCATATTTTCTATGAAATTTCTCGAACATTCAGGCCAGTAAATGTAATTAATACTGTTTAATTAAAAACATAGCATTCACTTAAATAAATTATATTTATATAAAAAAACACATAAACAGAAAATATCTTAAATAATTGTCGGACTTAGCCCATTTCATAATATATATATATATATATATATATGACGTCATACATTAAGAAATGGACAAAGTCTGACAATTTATTAAAGACATTTTTATGTTTAACATTCTTTTTATAGATACAAGTAAATTCGACCTTGCCAACCGAACGTTCCTTTGTGGCCGAGAGGTTAGCCACGTCAAGCTAAATGACGGTTCTGTATAGGATGCAGGTTCGAATCCTGTCAAAGGACGAATATTTTCTATGAAAATTTCTCGGACATTCAGGCCGGTAAATGTTATTTAATACTGTTTATTATAAACAGAGCATTTACTTAAATACTTGTATCTATAAAAAGAACGTATAAACATAAAAATGTCTTTAATATATATATATGCAATTTTTTATATATATTATTTTATTATTTTTTATTTGTATATTATATATGCGCGGTACTTATTGGAAAGCGCTCAATATCCGTGATAGAGCTAATATATATAGTTGATATGAGTTTGTGACCTTGTGTTTTACGCTATTTGAGATCGTCAGATCGAACCTGTAACCCTTATGTGGACCGTCATATAATTCCATTCAGCCCCTGAGAAGAATCTCGTTAGAAAAGTATACTGTTTATATACACATTATCGTTGAAAGACAAAAGGGAATCACCATACTGATGCATGTTTAAATCCAATCTAAGCTTTCGGCTTACATAAGTCATTACCAAACATGACAATTTCAATAACTCAAACAACACACAGACGAAACAATAATAATTATTCGACCTTGCTGCTTGAAAATTTCAAAGTAACGACAAACTCGTATATACGAGTGGCGCAAGTGAAAATCGCGTCGCAGCTCGTGACGTTACTCGACCACGCGAGAGTGAAAAACGATAAGTATTGAAGCCGTTGGTATAAACCAATGGCTTCTGTTATAAATTATAGGCATTTAAGAATATTTCATAGTTTATTTGGTTCAGGTTAGGTTTCAACTGTTTTAGGTATATAGCTTCAAGAATTTTTAATTTTTGTTTATTGTTTTCATGTTTAAAGTATAGTTGTGTTGTC